TCCTCTTTAGAGCATTGGGTTGTTTCAGACTGCCGCACTGACCGCAGCAGACTGCAGCAGACCGCAGCTGACTGCAGCTGATTGCAGCTGACCGCACCGACTGCAGCTGACTGCAGCAGACTGCAGCAGACTGCAACAGACTGCAGCAGACTGCAACAGACTGCAGCAGGCTGCATTACCGCACTGACCGCAAGAGCCGCATAGATCGTTGTATCCTCCCGTGAAGGTGGAGAGGATAAATAGTTGTAACCTAAACAATCAACAACAATATACACCTAGATCCAAAAGACAATACGAACGAGAGTAAAACAGGTTATGCAATAAAGCATGAATCAGAACAATTATAAGCATACCAATGAAAAACGATCGCCAGAATGTGATTGAAAAGAGTAAGTTAGAATCTATGAACTTCCTAGACGTAAATCACGGTGTTTTGACATAATCGCAATTGTTTTCTCCTTTACGAAAGCATGCAGCGTCCGTGCGGCAGCCGTTGCGGTCAGCTGCAGTCAGCTGCAGTCTGCTGCAGTCTGCAGCAGTCTGCAGCGGTCAGTACAGTCAGTTGCAGACTGCTGCAGTCAGTGCGGCAGTATGAAACAACTCATTGCTTTTTGTAATCTCTAGCTATCAAAAACTGCCACGCGCATACGTTGGCAAATGTCGGCAAAGCTCCGCCCGCTATACTGTGAGGAATAGACGATACCAAAGGTACTATTCGAAAATGGAGGTCAATCCCAGATGTATGGAACAGGCTGAAAGAAATGAAAATTTCAGACTTGAAACCAATTTGGAATATCATTCAAGAACATTGGAAACTGCTGTCAATGTTGGGGACGATAACAGTCTTGTCCGTGATAACATATTTCTTTGGAACTGCGTTACTCCTAGCATTGGCCAAAGTATTGACTGACAGCTATTCTCAAATTGCCGTACATGCCACATTTGGACTTTCAATTCTGAGAACTGCCCCAAACGTAAAAAAATCTATTTCCCTGCCAGATGGAATTGCCTTATGTGCCGCTTGCCGTATATATAAGAAAAACCAACTACGACCCCTACAAAAAGAAAAAGGAAGTCAAGTATTAAGTGACAGCTATTCTCAAATTGCCGTACATGCCATTTTTGGACTTTCAATTCTGAGAACTGCCCCAAAAGTACAAAAATCTGTTTCCCTACCAGATGGAATTGCCCTATGTGCCGCTTATAGACCGATAGTAACTATTAAAAAAAAGTTTATGCCCTATGTGCCGCTTGAAGACCGTATATATAAAAAAAAAACCAACTACGACTCCTACAGAAAGAAAAAGCGAAGTCAAATATTAAGTGACAGCTATTCTCAAATTGCCGTACATGCCACTTTTGTACACAAAAATCTGTTCCCCTGCCCGATGGAATCGCCCTACGTGCCGCTTAAAAGCAGTGTCCGAGCAAAAACTCGATTTTGAGATTCTGGGCTTACCCGGGCCTATTCGCTACGATGAATCCGAAAATGCACATTAAAAAGAGCGAAAACGGCAAAAAACGGCTCTAACGCGGGAGGGAAATGAGCAGGTGGGCGGGGTCCTCCCCACTGCGAATTCACGTTCCCGGCTTCCGGAGCGACCTTCTCGCTTCCGTTTCAAGTATTGGTACTATTCCACATAAGTTGACCCAAAAAATGAAAATCGTAAATCTCGCTAAAACTTCGTCTAGGGGGGTTATTTGGTACGCTGAACACGAATATGATGTTTATTTCGTGCGACAGCGCCATCCGGTGGAGTTACGGTAGGATTACGGTAGGGGGTCAAAATCACGGATTTGCCCGAAATTTGGCCCAGAGGGGTTATTCGACCCGCTGATGCCAAATATCACATTGGTTTTGAACCGTAGCGTCATTTTATCGGGTTACGGTAGATACACGGTGACGGGTGTAAAACATAGTTTATCCCGAGACGGGTGTGTGGCGATTTGGATGATCGTGAAGCTTTGCACACATGACCACCGCCGCGCGCCACACACTCTGCTGCCGCTTTTGCCTAAGCAAAGCACAGGGGAAAGATACATTTGCCGATTTGTGATTTTGACCCCTACCGTAAACCTACTGTAACCATGCAGGGAGACGTTTTCGTGCGGAAAAAGTGTGACATTTCTAATCAGCATGTCGAATAACCCCTCTGTGCAAAGCTGCAGCGAATTTCGAGATTTTGACCCCCTACCGTATACCTACCGTAACTCGAGAAGATGACAATACAGTGTGAAACCAATGTGATATTCGGCGTCAGCGGGCCGAATAACCCCTCTAGGCCAAGTTTCGGGCAAATCCGTGATTTTGACCCCCTACCGTAATCCTACCGTAACTCCACCGGATGGCACTGTCGCACGAAATAAACATCATATTCGTGTTCAGCGTACCAAACAACCTCCCTAGACGAAGTTTTAGCGAAATTTACGATCTTCATTTTTTGGGTCAACTTATGTGGAATAGCGCCGATGAATTTAGCTGAAGTCAAGCTTTTACGCAATTTGGCATCATTTCAAAAACGACTAATGTGAGTACAACTATTTGAAAGACACATTCTGGGATAACAAGCTCGAAAAAAAAACATTTACAAATAATACACCCGGACACTGGCGCCAGTCTCAAAATCATTGGGACACTCATGATTCCCTTTCGAAATACGTGTAACCCTTTAACGAAAATGTAGAAAAAGTTAAATGCTCAAAATAACATACCGTAACCTGCGTCCTTTAATAAGCTGGAGCACGTTTTCATGTAGGGACTTGCGATATGCGAGCGATATGCGACAAAATGAGCGGATAGGAGATAGACACATTGAACGGATGGATTCATGACTGTTTGCTGCACATTTCATTGGATCACTAGCTAGTAGGATACAAAACGTTTAGATAAGATGTATTCTTGCCCAACGTGGTCCCTACACAACCTTTTTTATGAAAAATATCAGAAATTCCATGCATCTTTTACAAGAAGGAAAAAAATGGTTATTTGTAACGAATTTTGAAGCCCTGCAGGTTACGGAACGGCACTGCAGCACTAAAAGTAGACATTGGGATGGAACACAAACACTTCTAAGCGTGAAATTTTCCGAAGCTCTCGAAGTTATTGAGAACACTATCCATCAGCTGCTGAGGAAGTTGATAAACTTCCCCCTACATTCAGATAAAGGTATAGCAAGTTCTTGCACATATATATAGTTGTTGGAATTGTGGTTGCAACTATAAATCTACACAAATAAAGTAGAAAGAGACCCTACACATCTATATAAAGCAGTGTACGATTGAGAAAGTGGCAACTAACATAGCCGAAACACTGGAAAACCACGACTTTCATTGAGAGTGAGAGGGCCGGGAGCATCGCTTTCTTAGCCCTTCAAGGCAATGCACGCAATGAGGTCCACAACGCGGCATGAATGATCAAACTCATTGTCATACCATGAAATAAGCTTGACAGCTTTCAAAATTGGGGTTGAGAGAAATGCAAGCTTCCGCATCGAAGATGAAGAGTTGCGGTCACCGACGAAGTCACTCGACACGACCTGATCCTCCGTGTATCCCAAGATGTTCACTGGACCCTCAGAGGCTGCCTTGATGACCTTCTTATTGTCATCCATTGAGGCCGCTTTCTCCAGAAGGCACGTGAGATCGACCACTGAGACATCAGGAGTGGGCCATTCCAGTAAGTTCTCCGTTCAAAGCGGATGACCTTGCCAGCAGCCTTGGCAGCACCGGTAGATGCAAGGATAATATTCTGGCCTGCACCAGGTCCATCACGATAGTGCTTTCCAGATGGGCCATCGACTGTTTTCTGCGTTGCCGTGGTGGCGTGGACGGTAGTCATAAAACCTTCGATGATTGTGAAGTTGTCGTTGATAACCTTAGCAAGTAAAACAAGACAGTTGGTGGTGTAAGAAGCATTACTAATAATGTGGTTTCTGGCAGGATCGTACTTTTCGAGGTTTACACCCATTACGAATATGGTGCATCTGCAGATGGAGCTGAGATGACTACCTTTTTAGCGCCTCTTTTCAAGTGAGCAGATGCTTTCTCGATGGTAGTGAATACATCCACAATGATTTGAGTTTCATTGGTTCTTCAGCGGCCTGAAGTTCGTACTAAACTTTAGTGGGTCCTGCGAAGAAGGCCTGTGCGGCGGAACCGAGTACTGTATGTTATTTTGAGCATTTAACTTCTTCTACGAAAATGTCCCTGGTCACTCATTATGAAATTTGGCAGCGTTCCAAAGCGCATCCCACTTGGCAGCAATCCAAGAGTAACATCTGTAACATTTCATCGTAATTTCTCCGTCTGCTGTCTCCTCGTTTGTCGTGTTCCGCGGATCAGGGTGGCCAAGCGGTAAACAACGAATTCATTATAGATATGTTACGTAGTGATTGGTGCGCAACACTGCTGCAAAGGCCACAGCAAACATGCTCCATTACGCACGAGAGTGCGACCTTTGATGTGCCTTGCGAAAGTGCCGCTGTTTCACTGGTGTTTTTTCTTTTGTTCCTTTTCTTTTAGTATTGCTTTATTGGTAAATTAGGTCAAAGGAATTTCATGCGTAAGCTGCAAGCTTACTAGCCAACAGAGCTTGTCGCTAAAGTTTCAAACTCGAAAGTTTGACTGTGGTTGAGTGTTGGGCTTATAGCGCCAGCAACTGCATAATTGCGCAGTTTTCGATATGCATATGTGTGTGCTTACATTTTTGGTATTGGAGTATGTTGACGCAATGTAGTAATTAGACGAACTTTCCAGCTGAAAAATTTTGCCCGATGACAACAATCGCGCGAAACCAGACGTAACAAGATCAGTTTTCGGTCGAGCACGGCCCGTAATTCTAATAGATCTTGTTGTCGTCCACATTCCTCCCTTCCGATTTGTTTGTAAACTACCTGCGAGTGGCTCGTGTGTGCGAAGTATTTAGAATCTTTCTTAGCACAGACTATCTTGTTCGAGCTCAGTCGTCGTTGAAGTTGAACTTTTTTATCAGAGTTAAAAACAGATTTCGAAATTTTCGGTAATCTTGCATACGCTACCGTCGAGAAGATGTCGAGCGGCGGCTGGAACGTCAATGCAGCTGCTTTTGTGCCAAATGTGAACGCACGACCATTCATACCTGGTCAGCCATACATTCCATCTGAAGAATCCGTCTCGTCAACTGCAGCACCTGACAGTGCTGAACCACCAGCAGAAGGTCCGTAACTACATTACCATCATTTGCAGTTCTTGGCGCATTTTTTTTATTTTCTTGTTGTTTATCGCCGTTTGCTCAACTGTATCTCCCTTTTGGTCCGTCTGGAGATGGTTAAAGGCAGTGTCTCACCAAAATTTAGTTGCCGAAATTTTTGCATTTTGCAAGCCTGTCGGACCCTGTCTAGCACTGTATGGGTTTAAAATCGCACGAAGTTCCCAAAAACCCCGTTTTCTGGAGGTCCCGCAGAAGCAACGTGGACGAGTTGTACCTTCCAACTTCAGCCTCAGCCACAGTGGCGGCAACAGAGGGGAGGTGGATGCCAAGTGGAGGAACATGTTCAAACGCGTAAGGGGGGAGACCGAAGGAGTCGTCCGCGCGTACCAACTGGCTCTCCGCGTACCACTTTGAGCGAATTTTTCTCAGCGTAGAGGGGGTCAAATTGAGTGACAGTTGTTGCAATGGCCTATCTAGAGGTCCCTATAATAGAATATGTAAAGATCCCCGCGACCTCAACTTTGGTGAGACACTGCCTTTAAGAGACTTAGTTTCCGCGGCTGTCACCAACTTGCGAATGCAGTAGAGTGCTATGCAAATCTTATTACTAGACAAAGCACATCGGCTTACTGCCTGTATGAAGTTAGGTATCGTCGCCTCCCCGGTGTACGTTGGGCGGAGAATTTGCAGACATTTAAACACGTTGGTGAACATGTCAACCCTCCACTACATTGGCATTGCTTTGTGTAATCTTTCGCTACCAGGCAATAAATGAGCACAAAAAGCATACTTTGCAGTAGAGGCTTGACAAGTCACCAAAGCGTTCAATTGCAAGTGCTCCGCCCAACGTACACCGGGGAGGCGACGATACCACTTAGTGAGCTTGAAAGCGCTGTAGAACTGTCTAAAACATTGTGAAACATTTGCTTTTAGTTGCATTTCAGTTTTTGACCTACAACATTTTTTTTAAATCGAGTGCAGGTCTTTACAACTGAACAATCATGCATCTATTCGATCCTTCACATTAGAGGCAGCGTCCAGGCAGATCTGGACCTATGGGGACTTCACGTGGAAACTAATTTTGGGGCTTTAACTAAGGTACTGCCCAAGCGGCAGCGCAGGTGAATCGCCAACGGCTGAGATATGCTCCTCCGAAGTGGACCCCAGGATCATGTTCGCATGGATTCATGGCAGTTTCGCGCGAGGATCCACGCTTCGCGCCATGAATCCATGCGAAAAACGTTCCCGGGGTCCAGTTTCGAGGGAAATATCTTAGCCGTTGGAGCACTATCTGAGCTGCCGGTGGGCAGTGGCTTAGTTAGGGCCCCAAAATTACTATCCACGTGAGATCCCCATACGCCCAGACTTGCCTGAACGCTGCATTTGAGTGAATTTCTTTCCGAACGCTGTAAGGCATGAGTAGGGTATGTGCTTTTTGGTATCCGTTTGCCAATGAAAATCGCTCCTCTTGGTATACTCCTGTCTTTGGTCTGCATTCCATACCTTCGAAAGACGTTTACTCGTTAAAAGAGGCCGATCCTACAGTTTCTAATGGTTCTATGGCACGCGCCATACTTGATCCGCTTCATCCGCTTCATCCACTTCGCCATTGGTCAGTTTGCTGATTTGAGCAGTAGCCTCAGGGATTCGAGCGTGTGCGAGCGGTCCCCCTACAAGGGCTAGCGTACAAGCGGTCTACAAGCTCAAAACTCCTGTGCGTGCGGCAAACCGCCGTCCATCCAAGCGGCAGGCAGTTACTGTGCAAACGGCCGGCAATACATTTGCTCGATAGCGACCAGCAATGTGTCCTTCTAGTGGTTAGCAATACCGTTGCCGTGTAAGGAGCCAACAGTGACCTCTATCTTCTTCTCACATGTCACAGATTGCGAGCGTAACGTACCTGCGTGAGATACGACGCAGCGTTCAGCCGTCCTAAGCGTTAACATGTCGTATCAACATTTTCCATCAAAGCAAGGCTGGAATAAATTTGTGTGAATTCTAATTATCAAAAGTGATGGATGGGCTTCGATATGAAAGTGGCCTATGCTGCAGGCATCGATCCGCATCCAGAGTATGAACAGGATTAGCATATCCAAGAAAAATGGTCAAGGTATCCCATACAAAATTATGCTAACAGCAAGCGAGCGGCCGATCTTCCCCGCACAATCGGCGAGCACTCCGTGCGGACGCCTCACGTTAACCTGCTACCTGCCCTTGATGACCGTTCAATCGCAAACACCAGCTCAGATAATCGCCGGGGGCAGGCGGTCCGCAAACTCGCGCTTTTCTGCAGGCGGTCAGCAGAATTTTGGGGCGTGGCCAAACCTTCAGCGGGCGGTACTTCCGCTTTCTGCCAGCGGGCAGCAATACAGAATTTTCTGCGAGCGCTCGTCAAATAATATCTTCCAGCGAGCGCTGGCCAAACTTTCAGCAAGCGCTCGGACTCTTTTTAGGTATTTTCGGGCGTACGTCGAGCACAGGTAAGACTCTGTGTGGTAGAGGTGTCAACGTTGGTTTATTACTCAAGTTTGAGGTACTTTCTCTCAGCGGAAAGTACCTGGGGGTTGCGCGGTCCTCCACAAAGGACCGTGCGGCCCTCAAAAATTTTGCATATTCTCGCGGACTTTCCGCGAGAATATGCAAAATTTTCGAGGGCCGCACGGTCCTTTATGGAGGACCGCGCAGCCCCCAGGTACTTTCCGCTGAGAGAAAGTACCTCAAACTTGAGTAATTAAACCATCGATGACTCCTCTGCCATGTAGAGTCTCACCTTTGCTCGGCGTACGCCCGAAACTGCTTAAAAACCGTCCGAGCGCCAGCTGAAAATTTGACCAGCGCTCGCTGAAAGAGATTATTTGACGAGCGCCTGCAGAAAATTCTGTGTTGCTGCCCGCTGGCAGAACATTAGACAGTAAAGGAAGTGCCGCCCGCTGAAGGTTTGGCCACGCCCCAAAATTCTGCTGAGCGCTTGCAGAAAAACGCGAGTTTGCGGACCGCCTGCCCCCGGCGATTGTCTGAGTGAGAGCGAAGTGGATGAAGCGGATTGAAGCACTCAAGATTGCTTCAAGGAAAAAGTGGCGCTGCATCACCATTTTTGTTGTGTTTATTTTTCTATCACTTCCGTCTAACACAGTTTGCCGAAGTTTGAAACGACTTGCAGAGTGGGATGCGGAAGTTCCGGATTCCTACGAGGAGCCAGTTAATTCATCGACATGCCCAACTTTTGCAGAACCGAAACTCGGTGAGGATAAGGTAGGGCGTTTTCTTTTTGTTCTTCCGCTTATAACGAACAGTGTGGCTGAATTGCCCATTAAAGTTAGCCTTTTATCATCTCCGAAAGGTGGCAAGTTGTCACTAGCCTGAAGAGGGTGCGGTGTCGCCTAAAGGCAGCGGCTCCGGAAAATTGCAACTGCGCCCTTTTTGTGCTTCCCTGGCCTTCTGGATGCGTTCAGGAGTGACCGTAGATTCACCTTAGGCACCCGCCATACTTGATCCTCTTGATCCGCTTAATCCACTTGATCCGCTTGATCCGCTTAATCCGCTTCGTGTAAAACGCGCGCCCTCGGCAGTCTGTCATTTGGCGTCACGTACAGCGCATTTGCTTAACCATACGAGATTGCTTTTTACCTACGCGACGCCAAATGACAGACTGTCGAGTGCGCGCGTTTTACACGAAGCGGATCAAGTGGATTAAGCGGATCAAGAGGATTAAGTATGGCGGGTGCCTTAGGAGCGATTACTTGCGATTGGAGCAGGAATCTATTCTGGAGCAGGCTATCTCTCCTACCTGACTTTGATGGCGCCTTTGCGAATAAACTCTTTTTGCGTCTTTAAAACTACTACCTGCAACTCTACTATCCATGTGACGGTCTTCAAGCATGCTAAATATATGACTTTAGTAAAAAACACGTAATATTCCAGCTAAAACTCCTCATTTTCGTCTGACATTGATAAGTTCGCAAATGATTGCGGTTATCTTAGGCCCCGGTCAGACTTCACGCGACTTAATCGTCGCGACCAAATCGCCAAGATTTCCATTCATTTTCATTTCACATTCAAAAATTTCGGTCTGGAAAAGTATCACAACCGAATGCAAGTTGATCTGCATGGAATGATGTTGTAACAGTTGTCTCCTCGCGATTCACTCGCGACGATCAAATCGCGTGAAGTCTGCCCGGGGCCTTAATCAGCTGTGTTTTCACTTCATAGATGTTTTTTTCACTTATACAAGTGCAGTGAAGAAAACTTCGTTCCTTTTATAACTTTACCATGGAGGACTGTTCTGTTCGGCCCCCGTGGAATTGTGTGCATCTCAAGCTTGACCGTCCAATGATTGGAACACATTACCATTTACAAACAAGTATATACACGAGCGAAGTATGCAAACTCTCCTCACTTGCAGCACCACAGCTAGCGGAGTGTGAAGAACATAGAAACAGTTACAACACAATGCGCTCAGTACATACAAAGTTAGCAAAAACATTATAAACAGGGGCCAATCTGGCATACCGAGCAAACTGGAAAATACAGATTTTGTTGAAACATCGTGTAGAGGGGTTATCTGACCTGACCACAGATATGACTTTCATTTGCTACGGTCCTTATTGCGGGGTTGCGGAGGTACCTAAAAGGCCAAAATCAAGTGTCTGCTTGGAAGGTGGAGGGCGGGCGGGGGGGGGGGGGGGGGGGAGGTATCTGATGTTCTGATCATGAATATTACTTTTCTGAAGTCAAAATGGCCTAAAAATTTGTAGCTGTATGCCATAACTCCACAAAAGTGCACCTCTCTATATAACTATTGAAACTCTACCAGGAGGAATCAACATGCTGAAAGGGCATGATATTCGTAATGAGTGTGTTAACTAACCCCTATATAAGAAGATTCAGCACTATGTGGGATTTTGACCCCATACCTATGCGACGTACGTAACCACACGGCGCTGAAACGGCTGGATTCGCAATGAAGCGCGGATTGTGGTTAGAGCGAATTCCCTCATCCGACTTCAGTTTTCTCTTGGGGGCAAATAAGATCCGGACCAAACCATGCTAACATATACTTTAGGCGGGTAGGGTATGTTAGCCACTTGTTGTCTTCCCTCGATAACTATTTTGATTTTTGCAAGGTCTGAGCCACGGGTGGAGTTGGTGCAGATGGATAAGTATATGTGCTGTAGGAAAACATAATGGGGAAGGGAATCTAGCATATGGAAGCGAGACAGGAAGAACAAGGGAATCTCGTATAGAAGTAAGGAATGTTGAACTTTACTATATCGAAGAAAAGGGTGGAGTCATGAATGCCGGCCACAGATGCAAAGAATTTTACATTTTTTAGGAAGAGGTAAACTCAATGAAAAACTCTACTTGACCTTCAGATCAAAGCTAATGAAGAAATTCTGATGGATAACCGAACAAAAAAGATCTCGACACAAGATGAAACTGTAGTAAAAACAGTTATGCAATGAGACTCACGCAAATACAGTCAATAAGCCAGCGTGAAAGCAACTTTGGATTACGTGACAACATGTGCAAGAACAAATGGGAAAACTAATTTCAGTCTACCTTCTCTTTTATCTTGCAACCTTATTTTTGACTAAGTATTCAGAGATTACTGTCTTGCTAATCATAACGATCACATCTTATGCATCACTTGTGCATACAGTCTGCCCCAATCGGGATCAGGCCGAACCATCGGCTGAATTTGCGCGCTCGCAGCGCTAGGAGATTGCGCTGCATACGCGCGCTGTCGCAGAGAGTGAAGAGATCGAGGAGAGAGCAGACTAGCTAGCCGCAGATGTGGCGCGAAACCTTCGCGGCGCGGACTCCCGCCATGCCGATTTTGGCCTGGTTAGGATTGGGGAAGACTGTAATTGCTCTTTTATTCCACTTCATCACTTTCGCCTAGTTATTGCAAGCTGTGGAAGAGATGTCGATTATGTTATACTGTCCATATATCAACAACTACATTTGGTTCACCATTATTGCACAAGTACCCGTTCCTGTAGTCAGAATATGCATCTAGCCTCAAGAATTGGGAGGACCTGCCACTGCGGAAATTATTGGAAAATTAGTACTACTTATATGTGTACTTAACCGGAGCTCTCATAAGTAAACATCTAATATATAAATATTCTAATATATAAAGAATCACAAGCGCAATTCAAAAATGTGCACATAGCGGGAAACCGCGTGGCGGTCCCGCAGCGGTAGCCGGAACATCTAAAGAAGTTGAGGCGCGAGATATCAGTTTTTGAGTGCTTTGACAGTTCATCTTTGAACTTTGACAATTCTTTTCGAGATTTCATCCTTTTCTTCCATGGGTTTCGATGTCTCTTGTTTGCTACTTATTATTAGTTTACTTGGATGTATGTTTCACTTTTCTGCATCGATCTTATATCATATTTTTTGCATCGGATTCAAATCATATAACATCTCTATGGAAAGCTACCATTTTGCATGTTTTCTTGCACGAAGACGTTCGAGTTTGTCTCAAAATGATTGATTTGTCTTTACGAAGTGCTCTCCAAGTTCTACTCTCACCCCTTTCATGTAAGTTTTTTAAGCAGTATGTTGAGATAGTTTTACAAATTAGTTTGCTGGCTATCGCAAGATTGCAACGCACATGCGCGTCAGGTACCGCTCATCCAACTATTAGAGTTGTGGGAGAACGAGGTAGTTTTAGATTCCATAAGGTCTGAAGCAAGTAATTGTGCTGATTTAATGACCATATCGGAGAACATTTCACTAAATTTACTAGCATGATGGTAAATGGTCAAATGATGCTGAACAACATGACCTTCGTTTAGCGAATTGTAAGGATATGGACTGATGAGCATTTCCCAATTTGTTCCCTTTCTTTTCGAACGTGCTGCAACGAATCCTGCCTCACACCAGTGCTCTCAATGGAAAAGCTGGTTACTATCCCAGCGTTCTTCACGGGTGCCACGCCCTTCGTCTATCGTTCATTCCCTTGTTTACTCGTTCAAAATCGAAAGGTTCCCTAGCGCCGCCTTTGGAAATCCTAAGGCTTTTGCACTAGCGCACCAAATGCAGTCAATGAGTTGCGTTGCGGTGGTAAATGTTGAAGGCAGTGGCTAGGAAAACCGTGAGTGCGAGCTTTTCGTTCCTATAGTCGGTTTCATTTCGGATTAGGCAAAACATTCCGCGTGGGGCAACGCGTGCGCATCGCTGGAGGCTTCGCGAGCGCATAGCGCTGACACTTTGCCAAGCAATAACTGAGGAGAATGAAGAGACGCAGGTTTGAGTTCTCAGCGCGATATGACATACAGGGCTTTTCAACATAAGAGTCACAGCCTCCGCTTGCGCGGCTCCTGCAACGCGGCCGCCTCGCTTAGGTCCGCGCAGCGTTTGCGGCGCATCGCCCGGGCATTTTGCCAAGCTTCAGTCGATGCGCAGCCTGGCGCATGCGTCGACGGCATCGACTGAGACCTGGCAAAATGCCCGGACGATGCTCCACGAACGCTGCGCGGACCTAAGCGTGGCGGCCGAGCGGGGCGGCTATGACACTCAGGTTGTAAAGCCCTGCAGTGTAGCTGCGAAACGACGCGAACTGTTGCGAAGCGGACGCCCGCCAATCCAATTTTCGCCTAAAGCGGGTCGAAACTTTTACATACTATGTCATTCTGGATGCTCTGACTGTCTCCATGTCAGGAGTCACGCCGCGCGCCGCGCCGCTTCGCCGCGCAAGTCGCTTCTAAATTTTGTACCCCATAAAACTGCCCGGAGCTAAAGTGGCACTGCGCCAGTCTAGGGGGGTGGGGGGTGGGGGCAGATACATGGTTCGTGCCATAAGTAATACTGCGCCAGGAGTGCTAACTTCTGTTTTGCTGACATCGCTTGCGGCATCGCTTCGCGAAAAGTTCGCGCCGACCGTGACTCCTGACCGTTCCCCGCTCTGACTAGGGCTTGGAAAACGTCTTGAAAAGTCTGAAAAGTGCTTTTCAAGGCGTTTTCCGTTCTTAGATTGCTAAAGGAGATGGGAGAGTGATTGCCAAAGGATCGCAATTGGCTGATTAGCCGATCAGCCAAGGTATCCTATAGCCAGTCGCTGTTTTTGGGAGGAATCCCTCGCCCAGCCCCTTTAGCAATCTCCAAAGCCGGAAACGCCAAAAAGCACATTTTTGACCCTTCTTTCAAGCGCAGTACCGGACTCAGTTGGTCCAGAAGGCCATGTAGTCGTGAGCCCGCGGTAGCAATTTTGGAGCCACTGCCTTTAAGAGGAAACGAATTTGAAG